CAGTTCAGTCATGGTTGATGAGATGGCATATGCTTCTATGGGGGATTTGGCTGGCATGATTCGCAACATGGGCCCATATGAACGCTATCAAGCTTTACGTTTCTTTTTGATACAGTTCTCCCATCAGGTTACTGCCTTCCAGCAGGGAGACCCAAAACTCTTATTCGCCGGCGCAATTGAGAACGTACTGCAGGGGACTTACAACACGGTGGAAGAGACCAAGACAGCAGGAGCAACTAAGACAGCCTGTGCCCAACCGCCGAGGCCAACGTGGCCGTGCCCAACGTCGCCGCGCCCAATCTCGCCGCACCAGTGATAACTCTGAGTCAGATTCCCAACAGCGCAGGTCTCCACAGCGTACCCGTACTGGCTTGCACCGAGACACTCTAGTCCGCCGCTCTGTATCACCCATCAGGAATGATCATTCTGGCCCATCCAACAGGAACAATCTGCGGGAAAACTCTCCGCAGCCAAATAGTCCTCCTGCTTCGCCCCTCAGGAATGATCATTCTGGCCCATCCAACAGGAACAATCTGCGGGAAAACTCTCCGCAGCCAAATAGTCCTCCTGCTTCGCCCCTCAGGAATGATCATTCTGGCCCATCCAACAGGAACAATCTGCGGGAAAACTCTCCGCAGCCAAATAGTCCTCCTGCTTCGCCCCTCAGGAATGATCATTCTGGCCCATCCAACAGGAACAATCTGCGGGAAAACTCTCCGCAGCCAAATAGTCCTCCTGCTTCGCCCCTCAGGAATGATCATTCTGGCCCATCCAACAGGAACAATCTGCGGGAAAACTCTCCGCAGCCAAATAGTCCTCCTGCTTCGCCCCTCAGGAATGATCATTCTGGCCCATCCAACAGGAACAATCTGCGGGAAAACTCTCCGCAGCCAAATAGTCCTCCTGCTTCGTCCCTCAGGAATGATCATTCTGGCCCATCCAACAGGAACAATCTGCGGGAAAACTCTCCGCAGCCAAATAGTCCTCCTGCTTCGCCCCTCAGGAATGATCATTCTGGCCCATCCAACAGGAACAATCTGCGGGAAAACTCTCCGCAGCCAAATAGTCCTCCTGCTTCGCCCCTCAGGAATGATCATTCTGGCCCATCCAACAGGAACAATCTGCGGGAAAACTCTCCGCAGCCAAATAGTCCTCCTGCTTCGCCCCTCCGGAATGATCATTCTGGCCCATCCAACAGCAACAATCTGCAGGAGAACTCTCCAATCCACACCAGCAGCGACTCTTCGCGGCACAGCTCTCCGCCACCACGTCGCAACACTCCTCCTCGAACTCGTAGCTCAACGATGAACAACAGAAATGGTCGTGGCAACACTCCTCTGACTCGTAGCTCAACGATGAACAGAAATGGTCGTGGCGCTGCTCGTCTGACTCGCAACCACACTGATGTCAACAACAGCAACAACTCTCGTGGTGGCGCTCGTGGCCGTGGTGCCGGTCGCTCTCGTGGCCGTAGCCGTGGCCGTGGTGGCGGTGGCGGTGGGGGTGGAGGTGGAGGCGGTGGCGGTGGCAGCGCTGGTGGTGGCCGAGATATGGGGGAAGTGCGTGGACACTTGTCACAGATAAAGAGATATGTGACACTCGCTAGGCAGGGTGTGGATAAAGTCGGAATGGGGGAAGATGAAGCAGTGGAACCTTGCGCAGCACATGTTCGGAACCTTCTTGTTCGTGCCCAGCGACTTGATGCTGCCTACCAACAGGCAACAGCTGATGATTAGTTTGGGTCGCTCCACTGGCTCTTCCGTTCTTTCTCAGGTTTCGTTTATTTTGCTCTGAGTGCCGCGGTTCTCTACTGGACATGGGTTTTGATGACATAATGTGACAGTGGATTGTTTCTACTGTTGTCTAGGTGTTTGTTTACTTTCGGTGGTTTTCTATATGGGTTTGATGAAATATCTGACAGTGGATGAGATCGAGGATTGTTCTAGGTGTTTGTTCATTTTCGGTGGTTTTCTATATGTTACTCATCGCAACATACTATCATGGTTTACTTGTTCCGTCTCTTTGTTTCGTTCAGTTTTCTGACTGATATTCTGCAGCTCCAGTGTTTTGCGTGCTCTGGTTCGTGTCCTACGACTGGTTTCAAGCTCATACTCATAGCTCAAATTACTAAAATGTGTTAAGGATTTGACCGATATTTCCGAAGGAGGCTCACGTGGAACACGTTATGTATTCGCGCCAATTCTGGTGGCAATGCTAGACGATAAGCCACTGGACCGATACGTTCCAGAATTTCGTAAGGTCCGACGTATCTTGGGACTCAGTTTTCCCTTCTTTCCAAACCTTTAACACTCCTTTCCAAGGGGAAGCTTTTAAGAAAACTTTGTCTCCCACGGAGAACTCCATCTCCCTTCTATGTGCATCAGCATAACTCTTTTGACGGTCTTGAGTTGCTTTGATTTTCCCTCTAACAAGTTGAATCTTGCCTACAGTCTTCTGTTAAAAGTGGTTGCCTAATAATGGTGGTGTTCATTAATTAAGAAAACAAGATTTGAATGGGTTGTTGCTCTAGTTGAGATCAAGTATAAAATGTAAGTGAATGGTTGCTGTTTTCATCACCTACACTTGGTTCTAACGAAAAATAATTATCAAAATTTGAACACAGTTCAACAAACTAATTCATATATCAAACCTTAAAAACAAACTATACAACTGGTGTTTGTCTTTGCTCATTAAAGCAAAGAGAAACAATAGATTCTGCGGCCTCTAATATGCCACTTGCTGGAATTTGGCTTGCAATTGTTTCTGCATGACAAATCACTTGGAAAGCTTCCTACCACTCCCTTGTTACTTGACGGCTGCATAGTGCATAGTCGTGTTCCTCAACATCAGGCGCCGGCGACCGCTCGCTGTCGTCTGCCTGAATCTGGGCCGCCGTCGGTTTATTTCATCGGTAACAAACATAATTGATATTCGGCGCTGTTTTGTGGCGCGATTTTTGGTTTACCGGCGGCGTTGGAGCGGCAAGAAGGACCGACAGATATCCATTTGGGGGTCCAAACCCGGCAAGAAGGGAAAATCAAAGAAATCGAGACTCTCGGTTATCATGATTCAAACCCTTGTATCTCACAGTCAATTCTGTGTTCCATTCCTTTGGACCCTTGGTTTGTCTGGAATATCGAGAGGTAGTCTCGGTCCAATCCCCATCTCGATCGCAGCTGAAAACACAAGCAATCTTTGTCAACATTTTTCATCATATCATTGTTTTTTGGGAGAAGCCATCTGGTCTTGGTCGCTCAGTCGTTCTTCACCTTCCTTTTGGCAGAATCTAGAAATGGACATCCTGCTCTGCATGCAATTAAACTTCCAGTTCAATATCAGACAAGACGTTCTCAAAATGTCATTGTAAATGAAACTGAATAGTTCTTTTGAACCTGGATACACTATAGTCCACTATCTGCCCTCACCGGATTAGTTTCCGGCGATCGGATTTCCCTCCGTTTATTCCACTAACCTACAATTCCGTGGATAATTAATGAAATTCCATTAATTTAGATAACAGCTTCCCAAATATTAAGTTTTAGCTTTCAAAACGGTCTCTTTATGACATTAATCATGCATTGGAAACAGCGGTGGATCCAGAACACAGAAGAGCACTGTGCCGCATTCATTAAAAAATTAGAACCGTAAAAAAACATTATAGTTTTTTTACAATATAAATTGTACACGACGGTATTTTAATTTAGCAAATGCATCAATTATGGAGTCAACATCCATATCAATAGTATACATTGTTTTAAATAAAATACTTTAGCAATCGGCTAGAAATTCCTCGTTCATTTTGTTGCGAAATCCGTTTTCATATGTTTCATTATTGAAAAGGTTCTCCTTGTAGTAGTTATTGATACGAGCAACGTCAACACTAGACAAATCAATCTTGCATTATGTGTCCATACCTATATCCACTAACTGCTTTAGTAAATTTTCAAGGGAACAAACCTCATATTTCTTATAGTCTTTTACGTTTTAGACTTTTAGAATTTTAGATTTCATTGTTTTTTTAGAAAATTAGTATTTGGAGCTAGAATTTCTAGGCTAAATTTATAGTAGTGATTTGAATATGTTAATCTGAATCATGTTTCTAGTTACACACAATCTTATTATAAAATAACACTATGTCGAATAACTAAAATCGAAAAATTCATAAACACTATACTAATTCCGAATCCAGGGGAGGGCTGGGCCGGGGCCCGGGGTGGCCACCCCCTGGATCCGCCACTGATTGGAAATCTGCCAAATTGAATTAGTCTTCCCATTCCCGTCAATCAATTCGAATCAAATTCATCCTAATTCCATAAATCATTAGTCTTACTAATTAACTCAATGGTAGACCTAAGATGAATGCTCTGAATTCTCTCGAGGCTTTGCCGGCGACCGACCTGAATCCGTCAGGCAGACCGCCGGACCCCAGCCAGCCCTCGATGGGAATTAACGAAACGGAGATGATAGTCACCCCCTGCTGTAATCCCCAAGATCTCACTTCTACAGCAAACGATACAGAGATGGTAGTAGAGCCGGTTCCTCTAAAGGACAGCCCGACCCGTTCGACAACAATCATGGCGCTATCATATGCGAACGTGGTGGCCGGAGCTAGCAATGAAAATCCTCAAAAGAATGATACTTGGACGCCCGTCGGAGAACACGACTTGATAACGGGAAGTTTCAACGGTGAGCCAGAATTGAAGATCTCAAGCGGTTTCAAAGAGAAGCTGTGTGTCTCCTGGCAACGTACCCTAGTGGTCCGAGTGTTAGGCTTGAATATATCATTCTTGACCTTCAGCAACAAGATCAGGAATCTATGGCGGCCGACAGGGGCGATGGAGATCATGGCACTGGGACATGAGTGCTTTCTGATCAAGCTCAGCAATGATGCTGACTATTTTCGAGCACTCACAGAAGGCCCTTGGGTGATTTTTGACCATTACTTAATTGTTTTTCAGTGGACACCGGAGTTTCGTCTGTCGGATGCTTTGCCGAGATCGATGGTGGTGTGGATACAATTCCCAGCCTTCCCGGTACACTTCTATCACAAGGAGATTCTCTTCACACTTGGGAATATGGTGGGCAGAGCAATCAAGCTAGATTTTCACACCCAACACCAACAGCGAGCGAAATTTGCCCGGATGGCCGTGGAGCTTGATCTCTCTAAGCCGCTGGTTACGCGGATCCGGCTGGACGGAAAATGGCAATATATCGAGTATGAGAACCTACCAACATGCTATTTTGAGTGTGGAAAAATTGGACACACTTCGTTGACATGTTCTACGCTAGCGGCGATAAGTCCACCGCCGGTCGCCGGAGTGATAGTCAGCGATCAGGGAAACGCGCCGGCGACTTCGTCGGAGGACCGAACAGGCTTTGGGCCATGGATGCAGGTTACACGGCGATCACGGAGGGGAACACGCTCGGTAGAAAAAGGAAAGGCTAGCGAAATCCCAGGGGAATCAGTAAGTAACGGCAAAGAAGGGAAAGGAAAGATTTTGCAGAAAGATAAGGAAAGCTTTGTAGAACAAAAAAGAGAACTGAACCAGAGGAAGGAGACGGGTAAGAATGGGGCTAAGGAAAAGGGAAAGACAGCTGGAGCCAACCATCTCAACGGGAAAGAGAAAGGAGAAAAAGAAGTGGCTAGTTCGGCCACAGGGGGGAAAGGGATCCTTGGGCCCATCCCGCCTAATAGAGTAAGCCCAACAAAAGGATCCAGCAAGGGAGTAACCCCTTTTAATTTCTTTGAGGCCGGCCCGTCATCCGTTGGAAGTGGGCCTGAGCCGAACCTTGTTGGGCCTGCTGGGACCAAACAAGAAGCAAGAAAAGGTTCGGTCCCCTCTGTCTCGACCAAAGCCCAGAAGACGACAGGCCCAGCGGTGACCTCCATTCAGATAGTGGAAGTCCCAACTATCGATCAACAGAAGAAAATCGAAGCGGCCAGTAGTACTCCATTGGCGGCTACTCGTACGAAGGGCGACCGGAGGAAGAGGAAAACCAAGGAACGCCAATCACCAGTGAAGGTCGCGGCCAAAGCTCTCCAAATTTGGACTCCTGTCAAGGAAAGGAAATCCAAAGCTAGAGCTAAAATGGCGAACTTGACTCTGCAAGAGATTGAGGCGTGGACGGGAGCGGAGAAGGAGGGGCATGTTGATAAAGCTACCTTGTTCCCAGCTGAGGAGAATGCCTAGAAGGAGACTTTTGCGGCGGCGGGATCGGCATCCGCGGACTGACTCCTCGCGAGCTGCTGCCATTTTTCTTTCCTCCTCTCGTCCCCTTTTCTTTCTTTATTTTACTTTATGTCTATGTTTCCGGATTTTAAATTCAAAATCTGCTCGTGGAATGTTGGAGGCGCCGGTGGTAACGCTTTCCTTAGAGCGCTGAAGCTCATTGTTACCACCCATAAACCTGATATTTTGATTTTGTTGGAACCGCAGATCAGTGGTGAAGTGGCGGATCGTGTATGTGGAAGAATAGGGTTTCCTAACGTTATGAGAGTCGAAGCTGAGGGAAGAAGCGGAGGCATCTGGCTGTGTTGGGACGCGAATATCGTGACGCTGGAGCTAGTTTCTGCCTGCTTTCCACATCTCACGGTGAAAATCAAGTGTGCTTCGACCCCACCTTGGCTCTTAACGGCGGTTTATGCGAGCCCGAGGCAGGAGTTTCAACACTTCCTGTGGCAAGCTATTCATCGCATAGGCGAAGAGCATGACTATCCGTGGCTGCTCACTGGCGACTTTAACGCCATCCGTTCTCCCTCTGAGCAGGCAGGCAGAAACTCCACTGCCATTCTTCACCGCTGCAAACGTTTTAACGATAGAATGGATCAAGCGGAGCTCATTGACCTCGGTTATTCCGGTCCACGTTTCACATGGACTAGAGGAGAACCGCCAAATGAGTACAAAACTAATCGGCTCGACAGAAGTCTATGTAACCCCGCATGGAACGTCACCTTCCCCTACACCTCCATTCATCACCTGCCACGGCTGCACTCGGACCACCATCCCATTCTGACAGAGATTGGGAATCAGGGAGTTAATCTTTCCTCTCCTCGTCCCTTTCGTTTTGAAGGAGCATGGCTAACGCATGATTCTTATGGTGACTTTTTACAGGATAAGTGGGATTCGCAGGCGCCGCTTCATGAAGCCTTGAGGAAGATGGCTGAGGACCTTGCTGAGTGGAACAAAAACACGTTTGGCAATGTCTTACAAAAGAAGAGGAGGCTCCTTAGCCGGATTAAGGGGATTCAGACCAGAATAGCCAATGAGTTCTCTCCTGGTCTTTTCAAGCTCCAAGCAAAGCTGGAGAGAGAGCTTGATGAAGTCCTAGAGAGGGAAGAGATCTTCTGGTACCAGAGAGCAAGAGAGAAATGGGTGCAATTTGGGGAGCGCAACACAACGTATTTTCACCAGCAAGCTCTTATCCGGAGGCAAAGGAACAAAATTGCAAGCCTAAAAGCTGTTAATGGAGAGTGGGTGTCAGACCCTCAGGAGCTGGCGGCTATGGTTTTCGAATTTTTTGCCTCTCTTTACTTGCAGGACGTTCAGGAGTACACAGACGAGATGCCAAAGCAGGCGTTCCCGAGGATTCGACAGGAAGACCTGATGGCTCTCCTGCGGCCTTTTACTGCAGCAGACATTTACCAAGCTGTGCAAGATATGAAGCCGTATCAAGCGCCGTGACCGGATGGTTTTCAAACGGTTTTTTACCAGAATTCGTGACAGGTGGTTGGTAAAGCTCTTATTGACATGGCTATGAGTTTTTTCTCTACAGGGATGCTGCCAGAGGAAGTGGTGGAATCGACAGTAGTGCTCATTCCGAAGGTGGATCACCCGGAGATGGCATCACAGTTTCGCCCGATATCTCTCAACAATGTCTGCCTGAAAGCTATCACCAAAGCCATCACTAATCGGCTTAAACCCATCATGAGGAAGCTGGTTTCCCCGAGGCAAAGCAGCTTCATTCCTGGGCATCAAACCACAGACAATATTATTGTTTTGCAGGAGGTGCTTCATTCTCTGAGGAAAAAGAAGGGTAAGAAAGGAGGGATTGTTCTGAAGATTGATCTTGAGAAGGCCTACGATCGCCTGAGATGGGAGTTCCTTAGAGATACTCTCAAGGAGGTAGGTCTGCCTAGCTCATGTTTGTTTCGGCTAACATCGACAGAAGGAAGGCGCATCGGCTGGCTTCAAGAGCTGAGATTCCACTCACTGTAGATCTGGGTCTGTATCTTGGAGTGATGGCAATTCATGGTCGAGTTACAAAGAATAGATATCGAGAGCTGATGCTGAGAATACAGAAGAAACTTGCACCCTGGAAAACCAGACATCTCTCTCTGGCGGCCCGGATCACGGTGGTGAAATCTATCTTTGCTTCTATTCCTATTTACCCTATGCAGACAGAGTTTCTTCCTATGAGTGTTTGCAGGTCGCTCGATAGGATTAATAGAGGTTTCATTTGGGGGGACACTGAAGCCAAGAGGAATCTCCATTTGGTGGGATGGCCTCAGCTGATCTTGCCTAAAAATAATGGAGGCCTGGGCATCAGGTCGAGTAGAGAGGTGAACCTGTCCATGCTTGCTAAGGGATGTTGGCGCATTGTTCAGGAGAAAGATAATCTCTGGGTTCAGATGGTTCGCGCTAAGTATGGAGGAAATCGTCAGCACCTGGATATTCTTAAGCGCGTTCAGGGAAGTTCCTTTACCCGGGCTAGCTTTACCAAAGCAGCTGATTTACTTAAGCAAGGTTGCGCCTGGAATATCCATCGGGGTAATCCGACTAAGTTTTGGTTGGAAAATTGGCTTTTGCAGGGACCCCTATACGAGATGGCGACGGAGATGATCTCGGAGGATAACCTGCAGCTGCCGGTGTCCGATTTTGTTGACGAGGATGAAAATTGGAAAGTGGAGAAGTTTGGCTCCCTGCTCCCGTAGGAGATCCAGCACAGGATAACAGCCCACGCTGTCGATCCTTTGGCTACGGAGGAAGACCACTTGTTCTGGACCCCGACACCTGATGGTCGTTTTACTACGAAGAGTGCTTACCAGATCCTCCAAGCAGCTCCCGCCAGCACTCAGCAGAGCTGGTGGAAAACCATTTGGCATCTCACTGTACCCGAGCGGGTTAGATGTTTTATCTGGTTGCTTGCGCAGGGAAAGGTGAGCTCGAACGAGTTTAGAGCCCACAGAAGGCTAACTCAGGAGGACTCTTGCTACAGATGCCCTACCCAGACCGAGAGCCTGTCTCATATTTTCCGCAGCTGTCCGCCTACTGCATTCTTCTGGCATCGAGTTGCTCCCTCGGCGGCCCACCACGACTTCTTCAGTCTCCCATGGGAGGAATGGTTACACAGCAACCTGACCAGCAATGAGACTACAGCTGAAGGACTCCCCTGGGATGCCTTTTTTGGGATTTCCCTTTGGTGCTTGTCAAAGAACAGGAATGAAGGCGTCTTCAAAGGTATGAATAAGACCCTGTCAGCACCTTATCTTATGCAGTCTATCAAGATTAAAGCAGATATTTGGATTCGGACTTGGAATGCTCCGACACCGCTTGGCAGAAGGGGAAACCCGGCGCCGAACCGGGTGATGACGGATATCGGTTGGCAGCCGCCACCTGCAGGTTGGACGAAAGTCAATGTTGATGGGGCAGCAGGAGGGTCCCAAGGCCTGGCTGGGGCTGGAGGAGTAATTCGTGACTCCAACAGTTGCTGGCTAGGTGGTTTTGTGACTAGCTTGGGGTCTTGTTCGGCTACTATGGCCGAACTGTGGGCTATCTATCATGGTTTGAGGCTCGTTTGGAACAAAGGCTATAGGACCATCATCATTGAGTCAGATTCTCAGTTGGCCATTCAGCTGGTGAGGAACATGACAGATCCTCTTCACCCGTATGCTGCTCTTCTTTCGGCCATCAGGAGGAAGATTTCTCTTGATTGGGTGGTGAACCTAGTTCATACTTACCGCGAGGGGAATAGAGTCGCGGACTGGCTCTCCAAGCACAGTCTCGTCTATCCCTACGACATGTATGAATTGGAGGATCCGCCGCAAGAGGCCCTTCACATTTTACATGATGATCAGCGTGGAATCACTATTCATTGAAACATTGTGATCTCTCCTTCTACCCCTCTCATCTGATCCCTGCCCCCTGTTTTCTTTTCTTTGGCCTCGTGCCTCCTGTAAGGCAAAAAAAATTAGTCTTACTAATTGCCGAATTTACCTAATTCCATCCTAATTCATTAATCAATGGTGATTGATGATATTGTACCCCATTCACAGCTATCATTGTTAGATGCTAAAATTAGGTTTAACTTAATGCCCCTTTTCATTAATCCATGAGTTAAATCTTGAGTAAAATACACCCGCTACCACTTAAGTTTTCTATTTGGTGAAGTCATACCACTTCTTGGTAAAAAAAAAGTCATACCACTTAACTCTAATTAGTGCATCGGGTACCACTTAAATACAATTTAAGTGCATCCATCCAAATTTCCATCCTAACTCTAATGGTAGATATTAATTACTGTTTTCCAAGCCAACATGGCCACGTATGCAGAAATTGTTGAGTCTATCTTATTTTTTACACATCACCCTAGTTCTCCTACTATCTAAACCTAACGCACAAAACCATCAAAACCTACACAAATAGAAAAGAAAAGAATCAAGTAATAAAAATAAGGGTTAATATTTAACTTTGACCAAAATAAATATCCTGGCCAATCTTTTCGATCTATAACATCCTGGCCCGAACTGTACACCAAAATAAACAATTTGGCCAGATATGACTTTTGACCGTTAACTTGGACGGCCAAACGCGTTGACCGTTAGTCAACGCGCCATGTCACTGCCAAGTCAGCATAAAATATTTAAAATAATTCATAATTTCCACACATTCCCTAATTTTAAATTATTATAAATTAAAAAAAAATCATCTAATTTTAATACCTTAGTTAAACCAAAAATAAAAAACGAAAAAATTAAATATTTATCAGATCTTCTGACTTGGCAGTGACGTGGCGCGTTGACTGTTAGTCAATGCGTTTGACCGTCTAAGTTCGGGCCAGGATGTTATAGATCGAAAAGATTGGTCAGGATGTTTATTTTGGTCAAAGTTCAGGCCATACGAAAATATTAACCCTAAAAATAAATGAACTTATTATTAACTCAATATACTCTCCTCTCCCCTAGACTAGACCT